TATTAGAACCTAATTTATTGAGACATTTTTAGACTTTTAGTTGTAACCTGAAACATCAAATTGATTAAGGAAAAAATGTATGGGGTATACAAATAAGAATTTATCTATATAAGTATAACTAATCTATACTTATGTAATAATATAATATGTTTATAGTTTTGTGATATTTAAAATTTTGTTCGTTTATTATTTCGTAAGAAAAAAGATATATACAGCAATAGTGAAATCTGATTTATTATAGTCTTATATTTTTTAAGTAAGTGTTCCACTTTGAAGTAAACTGTGGTGTGATATGTAGTGATCTATAATAGGCTAATACATTGTTGTTAAAATTCATGTCACATACATTGTAATTCTGATTGTAATATAAGAAGTTTGTGGAAAAGGTTGAATTTGCACTTTTTTTTTAAACGTAGGCACACAATCTAAGTTTGTTCTATTATTCACACTCTGTTGTTTACTATTAATCATTAGGTATATCAATTGTATTGTATATTTATTTAACATAAACGCCATGTAAATTATAATAGTAAAATATAAAAAAGGACTTTCTCTATCTATTAAAACGGTGTTAATACTATATTATTCACTTAATGTATTTAAAAATTTTAAATCTTAAGTAGGTAACTCAATACTCATTCCTTTACCCTTTCGTCATGTATTATTTAATATTTTGATAGTTAATATGAAATTTCGTGGTTGAAGGGTCTTCAGCATCTAAGTCCCTCTGATTATACTCAGGGAAATATAGAATTATAATTTATAACATACATATTTGCAGCCGTTAGAGTATTTTCAGTTGTGGCAGTTTTGATATACGTCTACACTATATATTTATATCCCATAGACTTGCAAAGAAAATAGTATTTTAATAAGTCTATGATATATCCATTAATTCGAAATTTCAGGGTCTCTCAGCAAAAATTAATCCCATATCAATGCCAAGCCGCTAGCGGATATTCATAAATCATAATACTTATTAAATTCATATGGTGTTTACGCATCCGTAAGAACGCCACTGCGCATGGTACAGCTTCCGGTGCGCACCTAAGCCATGTCCGAGCGATGAGCGTATTGTTACAACTTATACAATATTATTATTATAAGCATATATACGATATACCTATTTATATACAATAGGTTTAATTGTTATGTTGTATTGTTGTACTTTAAAGATTCTGTATATTTTATATATATTTATAATATATATTGGCATATTATTGCAGTGCCCATATGTGCCGTCAGGATTGCGGTGCAATTCGATACTTCAGGCTGCTGTTCAGTGCGCGTATATGAATGTATGATACGTACCTAGGTTAAGGATATGAGCATCGAAATACATAGTAATATATGCATAATATATGCTGCAGTTTTCGTTCTATACTCGAATTTCACTATACTATAGCAGCTCCTAGGTTTAGTAAAAATAAATATACAAATACTTTTATGCATAACATATATACCCAGCTAGTTTTGTAAATTTTAGTACCTAATCTATACAACAATATTATATTAGACTATTCGTTCGAAGAGTGGGTCGTTATTATGTATACATACGTTTTGTTCGATAAAGTGGTCTGATATACCTTAAGGTATAAGTGTACATTTAACAATATAACATTATTATGGATAGACGTATAGAGTACTATAGACGTATAGTATAAATGTAGACCTATATAACATTATAACGTTCATTCGCCGCGCACCGTCGGAATAATGTATATATAGCTCGTGTAGAACTAATAACGATATATGCATGCATATAAGCAGAACCACTCATTACCATCCGTTTTTCTATAATATTCATTAACCTTGTTTCACGTTGTGTTGTATGTATTTAATATATTTATGAATGTATAGGAAGAGGTACCGGTACGACGGACGTCTTAAAGAATTATTATACTACGATTATATATGAACGGGATATTTGGCGCGTAAATTTTTTTAGCACTCAGTGCCCAACTTTTTATTTTTGTTAATAATACAAGAGTTTGTTACTGGATTACTGTAGCTGTGATCCGCGTAGCAGATCGAAATTAAAATTTAAGATTTAATGTAATGAATGAATAATAATACCTATGGTAATGTTTATATTTTCAAAAATTCTAATGCATATATGTATAATTATTTTACAACGTGAATAATACATCCAAAACAGCAACAAAATATAGTGTTCAGCCTAAATATCATATAATAAGTACTTTTATAGGCCTTGCACTTTGTATTACTAAGATAATAACAAGAATATTAGGTTCGTTACGTCCAGTTACCGGGTCTCCTATAAACTAATTCTCGGTATAGGTAACTTAAAGTATATGTGGCGGCTATATTATGTGCGATGGACCGTTTAAATTTGAAACATTATTTCTGGGCACGGTGTATGCATTTTAAAAATTGATAACTGAATACGTATTATAACGCCCTACAGTTTTTTTTTTGGTTCTGGTTTCGTTGACCTACCTTGCTACCTGCGATGTCCATTATTACGGTTTGTTGTGTGTTTATTTTATATATTATGTATAATACCTATAAAGAGCGAATAAAAACCAAAAAAAAAACATGACGTAAAATAATGTGTAAAAATATAAGGAAAATATCTGAAATAAAGTTCTTATATGATGTATTCGATTATTCTAGATATATCCAGGCCACAGAAAGCCATATCAAAAAAAAAAAAAAATAGTAAAAGGATATACACGAACGGACAGCACTGTAAATATTAAGTACCATTATAGTGTAGACTATTAGACTATATAATATATATAGTAAAAAACATTTACGAACTTCGACAAAAGATATTTCTAGATATTAATAATTGTTTATAATACTTTTTTATTAATACGTTTTAGGCACGTAAAGTATTTTTTCTCGTTTTTTTAATTATACGATACAAAATTTGGGTTTCATGGTTGCTAAAAATTTAAATGCATAAATCGATTAAACTTTTTGATTTATTTTCATGACAACGTGTGTACAAAAAATAATATAGGTAGGTAGTCGGCTAAAAAATTAAAACTGCCATAGTTTTTATACACGAACAATAGGTACCTATCTACCTATAGGCTATATAATATACCTCTAAACTATGAGAGTTTCATTATTGAAGTTTCAGTTTTTTTGTGTCCAATCACATGGGATTCTTGTAAGAAATAATAGTTGTATTTTTATTACTATTTAGTATTATCTGCCTTAGAAACCTATATAAGAGGTATATTTTAAGCATCAAATTTTTTTTATTTTTTATATTTTTTAAAAGAAATATACAATCTGTATACCCGGATGGCACAATGAGAATATGTTACAGTGACGTTGAAAAACTTGCTATAGAAGAAGCCCCCGTTATTATATAGAGACTGCACTTCCTGTAAATATCAAATACTATCAAAACATGACATTTGAATATTAACCGTTAGCATTTATCAATTTATTTCAGATTTATTTTAGATTCATTTAACATTTATTTGTTGTTTGTTATAATATTTTACAATTGAATTCTTACTTAATACCGACAACTTGATTATTTATTATTATAATAATAATTTCTTGTTACTTGAAGTTGAAATAAAATACATAATTGTTTTTAAAGGTTTAGGCGTTTAGTCATATTTATAATACGTTATAGTTTGTTCGGATATTATGAAATTATCTCAAATATTTGAGTAGGTATCATAGCAGTTTCTTGTCTAAGGGTAGACTAAAAATTTGTAATGTTGCGCAACTAGTAAAAGAGAAAAAATAAATAGTGCTTTAGCTATACTTAACCACTTAGGTCGCCAATTTAATATTGGTGATTGACTTAAATAATCAAATGCCATGCATGCAGGCGTAATTAATTTATACGGATCAGTGTCCACCCGTCTCTTTAACTACGAGGGTTGTGACATTCGAGTATTTTACCAACCCTAATACCATCAAGAAATGTCAACTTTTAAAAAATAAATATTTATATAGCGTTTCTACGTTTGTGTGTCGTGAGACCACATATTTTTTTCAATACGATGAACAGCGAAGCTTAGGGTGATCCGGAAACTTTTAAATTTATGTTTAACAGCTGCTTAACATATCAATAAATTAAACCTTATCATATAGTTACATGTTTAATTTTAAACTAAACGAGTCCCGGTCGCGGAGAATATTAAATGTTGGTTATGACTTTCTGGATCACCCCGAGTTCACGTAATGCAGCGCCTATGCACTGTGCGTACCCATACGTTTGAAAAACATGTTAATACGCAATTAGTGTTATGTGACGTGTTCGCGAAATTATCAATAAAAAAACCTAGTCATCGGGTCGGCGTGCCTTGCGGGCGGCGATAATCGATACCACCCGCGTTACATAATAATGAATAATATAATATGTATAAAATATAAATATTATGACTAAAATATAGTTAACTGTGCGTACAAACAATATTACTATCATAATATACATTATGTATTATATTGTAAATAATGGTGTGTTATTATTGCAAATCGTTCAAAATTTGGGACTAGGGTATGAACGACGGGGGCGGCAGCAGAGGGCGCACGAGAAAACCGTATTGACTGAGCGCGCGGGACGCCGCTGTCACGATGCGCGCACGCGCACATAAATCGCCGCACAGCAACCGGCGGCGCAAAAGCGACCGCGACGGGGCGAGCGAGAGGCGGACCACTACCACACACACGGCCGGCGACCGGGCCGCCGAATGCCGATAAAATAAAACAATTTACACGGCGCACACTCAGCGCAATACTCCGCGAACGACTGTCGGACGTGCAACACCGCTACACGATACTGGACGCCGCGAAAATCGAAACATATTTCGATCCGTTATTTTGCATCGCTTTTCGTGCGGTCTTCGCCAATATTACACCTATAACGAGCCTATAACACTACGTTACACGCCGTTCCGTTCGTCTTGCAGCAGGGGTTCACGGTTTCACGGGACGACCGACAGACTTTATTCTATATAGCTTTTCGTATCCGTAACTCGTTCTCGTAGGAATCGGCGACCGCGATGGACAACGTTTCGGTTTCGTCGGGGTCCTCGTCCGCTGACGGCGACGAACTGTCGGCCGTGCTCAACCGCCGGCAGAAGATCAACGAGGCGCTGGAGGACGGCAAACCGGTGCCGCCACAGTTCAACAGGCGGCCGTCCACTAAAAATGTGTTCCTCGAGTTTAAAGAGTTCTCGCGCAAGCAGATAAACGAATACGAGGCGACGTTCAAAAAGTGAGTTGTTATTTCGTCGTATATGATTATAGTTTATTGGTGTCCATGGTTGAATACGAGTGTGTACTATGATCATGTCCACTACGAGTGGGTTTATCTAGCCATCTAGGTATAATCCTAGGTAGGTACCTATATCTATATATAGGTGATCGAATGGACCTACACGTATTTATTATTGCACAGCCGTAATATTATAATTATCATTTAATATACATTTGTATATTGTACTGTCTCTGTTTGTGTGAGGGCGTGTTACTCTCCCCGTCCTCTACACCCCTTGTCGGTAAAGGGTTGTGGTGGTTGATACTGCTTGTATGCACTTTTATTATACGCGTAATATACGCTTCGCTTCTGACACCCGCTAATGTTGACGATTGAAAAATCCTGCGATTATTATCTTCACTATACGAATATTTGTTATTATTTAATAACAAATATTCGTCGGTAGTATATACGATTACATTTATCAACTATTCGTATCGGGTACACCCCTTGCACCGAATCGAGATAGGTAGTCATTACCTACGTTATCGCCTTTGCGATTGCGGTGTGCCGTTGGACGTTTGAAAATAACTTTTGAACGGTTTTCCGGAACACTTGTCGAAAGCTGATTACAGCTAGATACTTTTCTAAACTATAAACCAAAATTGTCGTTATAGCATAATGTCTTATATTTTTCTCATAATATTGTTTTAGCATGATTATTGTTATTATTCGTCTGTTCTTTATGCACAGTTCGCTCCGTCACACATGATACAAATTACAAACCAATAGTAATTATTTATATTTGGACAACACGAATGGCGTACGTACAATCATTACAAATTGCAATGTAGTATGTACGTAGGTACTAGGTAGCTACTGCAACAATAATCGCGTATGAGTATGTAGGTACCCATGACTATATTAAATTCAATTTTTTCGTGGTGCGTCCGAAAAGGTCAGTTTTTATATTTCACATTTAATATTTAAGCCCATCGTTATTTGGAAATACGATTGTATTAATAAAGAACCTATATAATATTGTAGGAAATTGTAGGTATATAATAGTAACCAAAACAATAAACTATAACTATTATAGTATATCGGTGTTTGGTATTCATAAGTATATAATTATCTATACAGTTTTGTTTTTTGGCGCGTATTTTTTATGACTCATCCACCGTGTATAATATTATTCTAAATATTTTATTTTCTTACATTTTTATTTCTTCGGAATTTATGAATTCATATAAGGTAATTTAAAATAATTATATACGTTTGTTAATCATCTTTCATGAGCGATTTCTATGTGTGGTGTAAATTAAATTTCCATAACTATTATCTAGTATAGTATAAAAGTGTTAATGAATAATAAATATATAAGATATACTTATAGGTACTTCTCGTTAGGTACGTTTCAAATTTAATTAGTGACGGTTTTAATTAACTTTTTGAAAAATAAGAAAATAAAAAACTTGTAAATAATGTGTTAAGCATGGAACACAATCATCGTTAGTCGTTACATAACTTGAGATAAATTTATAGTAAGTAATCTCAACAGTTTTTTGAAAAAAATTGTAGGTTTAAAATAAAATAATAGTCACAGTGTTAAGAAATACAACCAATTATAATATTCAATTTAACTGTTTGCATGTTACAACATTTTTCTTAATAACTGTTCAATTGCTTTGCATAAAATTAATTGTATACGTGAAAAAAACCCGAGACTTCAGTATTTTATGTAGTAATAGGCTCAATGGTGTTAAAAATTTCCACTGAAGAAATCATTAGAATTATTTATAATTATTTGATGTTTTCCTTATGAAATTGGTCTTATCCATTTATCTCTTTTATTTTAGTCTGTAACCTTTTAAAGTTTGTTCTTTTTCTATTTTACAAACATTTTGTGTTTACATTCTATATTGTACAGTTTTTACCATCCTTATAAAATTATTTTAAAGTGATAACTTTAACACTTAAACTTGATTATAATTTTGTTTATCAAAAACATCAACAACTATTTCGGCTGATGCTGAACATAGACGGATGTTTAAATTAATCATAAAGTGAATGTTTCTGTTTACATCTGAACAAATTATTTTTCTAATAGTTTCACTATGTGTACGAAGTACGTATAATGATAATATATTCACACGTGAAATCTACCGAAGACATTCAAATAATTAATAAATTAAATATTATAAAGAAATTTTCGATAGTAAATAAATCAAAATTGAAAGACATTTTTGATACCAACATAATATTTTAGCCAAATGCAACGTGTTTCTGAGTTTAATTTTTTAAGATGTTTTCGATTATTTTACCAATACAGTTACCCACCTATAATATTATCATTATTTTAAAAAAACATATTTCTCCTACTTATGGCCACTGCGACACGACTATCATGTTTTTTCCTGTCTAGCTTCTCCGTTATAGACACGCGCGCCGAGTATAGTTATCTCTTATAATGTCAATGTCGATCTATATACCTACTCGTTTTTTTCTAACTCAAATTATAGTTTATATAGATAGTTACTGTATACCTATATAATAATGTATATATATCTACATTACGTCCGCCGTGAATGGTTCTCCTCTATAGCTGGTATAATACTGTACAAAAGGCTTTACTCGGTAATTATTTCGATCATTAACCAATGCGTTAACCGACGATATTACCGCTAATTGAACGTTAATATAACCAAAGTCATTGGTCTGTAATAAAAAAGAAAGAAAAAACGGTACAAAACGTAATTTTATTTGTTGTTTATAAATAATACATTAATATATATATCTATCGGCTATCGAGAATAATTATACGTATTTTGGTCGGGGTTATTGGACTCTTAAACGTTCTATATAATATATTATGTCATGTGTTCAGGTATTACCTAACCTTACGACTGTAGTAGTAGCTACCTTTAGGAAATATTTTAAACCTTGCAGGGAAATCGTGCATCGTCTGCAAGTATCGATCCGAAAAATAACAATAATAATAAAAAAAAAAATACTGAAATAACATCATCTCTTGTACCAGGTTTCAGCCATATTATAATCGCACAAGTTCCACTATACTCGTATATCGATACGCCAACGCAATCGTTGTAACCAGCGTCGCACACGTTAAATTGTTATTATAGGTATAACATTAATACGCGTACTGCGTTTTATTTTTGAAACTCGCAAGTATAGTATTATAATACACATTATACACGCGCACACGTGGCGTATACTGCAACAATGCTTGTTATGAGAATTTTTTTTGTTTAACTCCAGCGGAGATAAATATATATATACATAGAGAGAGAGAGAGAGAGAGAGAGAGAGAGAGAGAGAGAGAGAGAGAAAGAGAGGCTTCGTGTGATAACGCCTTGTGTAGATTTGTGTTTCGCTGCGGCTATATATAATGGACCGACCGGACCGTGTATATACGTAGCATATTATACAGCATGAGGGATCGACATCATGTACATTTGTATACATATATATATATATATATATACATACTACATAGACACATAGTACATAATATGTACACAGAGCCGTGCTAGGGGGGCATGCACCGCATGCGTATTATATTTTACATTTATAATACTTATATGATATTGATAAATATTATATTATATTAATACCAGGACATTGTATTCAGCAGGTACCTACAACAAATACGAATATTATGATATGAATATATAAAACACCATGTACTTACACCAAAAAGACCCATCTTTTCAGCCGGTGAAAATTGATTGGATGTTTCTTAATTTATAATCATTATGGCTGGTGGTGGACAATTAGAGGTACTAAGTAAGTAGTGTGTAGATAAGACTACGATATACCTACATGATTAACAGATTATGACTACAGCTATAACGCGCGTACCTGCAGGCACGAGTCGAGTAGATCACACGGCCTACCAATGTCAAATTATTTTATAAAAACAATGTTCTTAAGCTATCCGATGTAACTATTCGAGTGCACCGGTACACGAAGGGTTTATTGGTATAGGCTCTATACTATAGATCCAACTAAAAGCGAATTGAAATTTTAAAAATGCATTCATATTTAATTAAATGTACAATTACCTAACCTATACAAACACAGGCCATTATTATTAAAGATAAATATAATATAATTTACATTGTCCTGTTTTTGTTTGAAAACTATTCAATGATTTCATTGTTGTCAATGTCTAGTATTTTGTTTGTTGACTTTCAATATCTGGTATGGAGAGTGAATTAAAATGGTTTGAAAGCATTGAACTCATTAATCAGTTTTTACATGCCTCATAGGCCATAACTGAAAAGCTTGTCTGATAATGTAATACGTATAACATATTTTGTGAGTTAGATTTCCCAGCCCACCCCGATTTCTACCTATAGTTGGTCCACTACTCCATTTATCTATATTTTAAACACTTACCTATATGTTATGACTAATTATTAATTAGGTAATTGAAATTGAAATTCTCAAAAAAATATTCTGCTTGAAAAGAAATCTTAAGTATTTTGGGAACAGAGCACTTCAAAATAATAATATCCGGTTATAGGAATATCATTTCGAGGTCGAAACGATTATAGAGATTATTAATTCACGTCATTATGATATTATGTGCTATTTACGTAGGTAATATTAATACTAGCTATACAATATATACTAGGTAGGTATATTGGCATTTGGCACGTCAAGTGTTAGTGAAAATCATTGTGTCGAAAATGTCACTATTATTATATTAAAGTATACTCAATACTCGTGTCGGGCAAATCGAATTTTGATTTTCGTTTTAGTGTACTTACGAAACATTTAAACACCGTAAATATTCACTGTGATAGAATAATTATTAACTATAATAATTATATTATAATGCATTTTGTTATACATAAGACATAACACATAAAGTCTATATGCAACTATGTAGGTACCTACCGATAGTTACCAGTTTACCACAATAAATATTTTCAGTTCTCCCACATTACGACTGATTTTGGATTTTACAGTGATAAAAAATATGGTGCAAT